CTATTAATTGCTCGTTACTGGAGAAATTATCCGAAGGCCGGATCGATCAGATTGCCCATATGAGCGTGGACGAATAGAATTAGCAATTGTCAAATGTTAATTATCTGTTAATTGTTTCTGCCCCGATTCCAAGTATCTAGTTGAAGTCGGTTCCCGAGGGAACCCTTTCTTGACCCGACTCGTACTTTCTCGGTATTTTCCTTCGCTTTTCGTGGCTCATCTTTTGGATTACGGGACGAGCGATATAGTGTTATAGTGAGTGGTTGTAGCCGGATGTGAAATCTCTGCCGGGAAGTCCGAGGAGTCCTTGGTACCCTGTAAATCGTGAAAATTCCTCCTTTCCTCTCGCGCGAATCTTACGAGCACCTTGAAGAGGGTTTTATCCTCTGTTTACTTGTACCTTATTTGTATGCTATTTCCTAATTTAATCCGTGGCGCAATTTATCGTTACTTAGGCGTGTAGGGTCTCTCTGGGGGAATTTCGATGGGTTTTGGCCGTTTCGAATATGGCGCTCTTCTCTTCCCCAAGATGGCCGCCGATGCACAGAAGAGCGGATCCCGTTTCGTCATCGCCGCGATACCCGTTTCCTACATCCTTCGGAGGCTTCCCAGAAACGCGAAATCGCGACTCCGCCGACAACCTGATACGCTTTATAATTAGTCCGCAATCTGTCCAGGTCAGAGCAAAGAGATACGCGATATCACGTCGGGCAGTTCTCAGGCGAATCTTCGCAGAACCGAATCTACGTTGACATAATATGGAACGCCGGAATCCAGGACATTGAAATTATCGAGGTCGAATGAGGAACTAGAATGGTATTGTCACGTCGAAAGTCACTGTCGAGTAATTTCTCTTTAAAGAGTGGGAAATGATAAGGGTAGGTACGATAGTAGCAGCAATGCGTATTTCTTTGAGTGAAGCAATTTTCTTCTTTTTTTTTTCTCTCAGGGAGGATTTTTAGAAAATAAGGTATTCGGGAAAAGCAAGTGGTGGAGGGAGAAATCCTTCTAGTAGTCGTTTAACCGTCAGGAACACGTATTCCCCATGCATTTTAAGGATTTCGGACTACAGGGCCGCACGGGGGAGGTTAGGGGGCACATCGGGGAAGGACAACCAGGGTGGCGGCGGTTTTGTCGAAGTATGAGCACGTAGTTGCCGCGGAAGGATCATAGAGTGGACTTAGCCTGGGGAATCCGCGAGATCCCGTATAAAACTTGGCCGGAATAACAAAGTTTCGTGGCTCCTCCTGCCCCTCCAAGAATGCGTCGCGAGGACGCCGTCCTTTCTCCTCTTTCTTCCCAGGATTACGGGCCCATACGTGTGCTCGTCCTGGACCGTCCTCCACTAAGCTGGAGAATCTCAAGGTCCGGTACTTCTTTTTTTCCTTTTTTATTCCTCCTTTCCCCCCTATTCGTAAAGCCGACAAAATGCCCCGTTTTGGAGAGGGGAAATGGGAGCGAGGACTGCACCAAGAAATTCCACGACCCCTTTGATAAGAGTAAAGGGGGATTTATTTCGAATTTCGGTGATAAGGGGACGACTTGGATATTTCTATGTACTGTTTATCACTCTCGTTTTTTTGGTCAGGGTTGAAATGTTCCCTGAACAAAATTCGGAGACTACCCTAAAATGCATTTTTAAGGATGCATTTCATTATTCCATTATGTGCAGTGTACGTTGATTGTGTACTTACAGGGAGGATTTTTGAGATCGACTCCGCATATCTCGATGCACGTCGCGATGCACATCTCGCTGCATCCCTCCCAGGAACTCGAAGTGTCGAGGGAGCCTTTTAAATATTTATCTTGACTTAGGTCATACGAGGTCCGACGTTCTCGTTAAACTCGACTTGCAGTCGCGTCGCGTAAACTGTCGTCGACTTGATATGCAATTTAAGAATCGACGAAGGATCGAAAAGAAATTCTTAAACAATTATTCTCATAGAGTGATGTCATCCCTCGGTGATGAAGAAGAATCCTACACGAGGTCTTAGGAATGGGTCCTTGGCGTATAGAAACTAGGTAGCGTCTCGCTTCTTTCTTAAGCGCTAACAAATGTATTTGCCGCGGAACTCCACCGAAATTCTCGTTAAACTCGATTTGCAGTCGCGTCGCGTAAACTGTCGTCGACTTGATATGCAATTTAAGAATCGACGAAGGATCGAAAAGAAATTCATAAACAATTATTCTCGTAGAGTGATGTCATCCCTCGGTAATGAGTCCTACACCAGGTCTTAGGAATGGGTCCTTGGCGTATAGAAACTAGGTAGCGTCTCGCTTCCTTCTTAAGCGCCAACAAATGTATTTGCCGCGGAACTCCACCGAAATTCGCGACCTGGGACATTTAATTAATGCTTATAAATTCGATTTCCTTCCCATCGGTGGACCAGGATCTCGAAGAAGGCCCTCCGGGAGGTGATATCGCTATTCGCGCAGTCCTTATTTCCATTCGGTGTCGAGATGCCGAGCCAGTGCTGAAACTTCCGGTGACTTCCGGTCACATGCCGCAATCCGAGGAGCCGCATGCGCCACTCGGCGAAACTCTAAACGGGGATCGCCTCGAAAGAGAACTCGACGACCTATTGGGACTAACTCCTTGCACGACTTGGTCTAGACTAAGACAGGATTTCCTACGCCATGAACGGAAATCGGCAGAGATTAATCCTATTAACCATCGATCATGCCTAGGATTCCAATTTATGGTTAATAACGCCCCCAAGAAGCCCTTAAAAATGAAGGAAAATTAAAAACTGTCAGTCCGGTCTCAAGATCTCACCAAACAACGCCTTCTCCGTCGTCACCTCAGGTTTCCATTTTTTTCAACGCTCACTTCGGAACGAAATCGTTCGCCTGTATTTTTTTATGGTTAGCTCTGGAGCTGGAAAAGCGGAGAATAATTTATAAATTTCAGGACGTCACCGGGAATTTACAGAGGAATAGTCTTCGAATGGGCTGACTGATGCGGTCGCTCGAGCAAACTTCCTAACTTGTAAGAAAGTGTTATAAAAATATTATAAAATTACAATGTTCATTTTGGCGGTGTAGAAGTTGTGTGGGAAAAGGGGTGACACCTAAATTTCGTGGTTTCAAGTGACCAGGGGTCACTTTTCGGGGACTTCGTTGAAGACTTTGAGGACCAGGAGGGGATTCGTTCGTCCCGTGAAATTGATCTAAGACTCGTCGTTAAATCTCGGCAATTTCCACGGTCTTTAGGACTTCCGGCCCTTGCACTTCCGGCTTCTCCATTTTCATTGGACACCCTCGTTGACCCCTCCGAGTGGGCAGCTTCGCCTATCTCCCGGGCTTTGCGAATCACGGCCGAGTCCTGGGAGAATGGCCGGCCGATCCTGAATTTATATCGTGTGTTTAGGTGGGAATTGGTTCTTTATGAGAGGCACGTGAGGATACTGAAAGATACGACCGTCGAAAGGTGCCCTGCTTCGACTTAACGCCTCTGGCGACCCTTACGACGGTTCAACCCCTGCACTCGCGATGCAAGTATGCACCCCACGAAGTGCATCGCCACCCAGAAGTGCCGAGATAACCTGCCACCTTTTCCTGAATTTTCCAGTGCTTTTCTCCCACCTTGTTGCACTTCTCAAAACGCCGAAATTGTGCCTGGAACCGAAACTCGTAATTACGTTTGATATCCATTGACATTCATTTGCCGCGATGCAAGTATGCACCCCACGAAGTGCATCGCCGTCCAGAAGTGCCTAGATAACCCGCCACCTTTTCCTGAATTTTCCAATGCTCTTCTCCCACCTTGTTGCACTTCTCAAAACGCCGAAATTGTGCCTGGAATCGAAACTCGTAATTACGTCTGATATCCATTGACATTCATTTGCCGCGATGCAAGTATGCACCCCACGAAGTGGCGAGATAACCCGCCACCTTTTCCTGAATTTTCCAATTTTTTTCTCCCACCATGATTGCACTTCTCAAAACGCCGAAATTGTGCCTGGAACCGAAACTCGTAATTACGTTTCATATCCATTGACATTAATTTGCCGCGATGCAAGTATGCACCCCACGAAGTGCCGAGATAACCCGCCACCTTTTCCTGAATTTTACAATTTTTTTCTCCCACCATGATTGCACTTTTCAAAACGCCGAAATTGTGCCTGGAGCCGAAACTCGTAATTACGTTTGATATCCATTGACATTCATTAGCCCATATAATTTTATTAGTTACGTATCACTTTTTTTTTACACGAATTTTAAACGTTCCTTTTTAACAATTATTCATGCGATAAATGCGCGACTTTATCGGTTATCTTTCGGTGAAAGTGGCAGTCTCTGTTATTTTATCGCGTAATTACGGGTTTCAGTTTCTGACATAATTGTGGCGTCTTTATTTTCTTTCTTTTTGAGGAAAGCGTTTAGTCGGGTTTCGAGTTTCGCCCAACGTGTTCTCCGATGGTGCAGGTCTGTCCGTCTGAGAATTTGTGTACATTTTGTTCGCACTTTATGTGCATTCTATGCACTTTTACGAGCCTCTCCGTCGAGTCGGACGGAGGGACTCCGACATGTGCTAAGAGAAACCTGTTCTCTTAATACAACCGATACTTCGGACAAATTCCCAATTTTAACCATCGGTTCACCCGAGGTTGTGTCGACTTTTACGGGGACAAGTTGTTAAAAAACTTTGCTCACTTTTATGGGGTACACTGGCGGGCATGAATGGCTTCCGTGTTCCCATTGAGCTAAGTGGTTATTCTGGTTATGACAACTTTGAGAGAGGTCAGGGATGCTCCATCTTCGGTACGTGAACAGGCTGTCATTTACCTCAGTACTTAACAATTTAAAAATATGGTGCTTGAAAAGAAAATTAAAATCCTTCGTCGTCGGGTGTTCCACGTGTGTACCTTTAAACAATTGGCTGCTTTAGGCGAAATGGCATGGTAAATTTACAAAAAAAAAAAAAAATACAGAGAAAAGAAACACAGTACCAAAGAAATATTTTATTAATGAAATTCTCTTTGCTTTTTTTCTTACAGAATGATGATCTGGTCTTCGATCAAGACCTCAGGCAATCGGTGGTCGAAGTCCCTCTGATCGAGAAGCAAACCGAGGACTCGATATTCCACCGAATAAAGAGAGGATTATTTGATTGGTTCAAGCCTGTGACGGAAACGCCGAAAGTAACGACGACTGAAGAACCACCAGCGATGACATATCCACCCACGACAGGTGAACGACATGTTCATATCATGATATCAAAATGAATTCAGGGGGATGCCATTTTTCAGGAAAAAGATAGTTGGGCAATATTTCAAATTTCTTCGATATTGGTTAAAAATTAAAAATTTTATTTGAGGCTTAAAATGGACACCCTGTACTAAAGTGTCTCCAGCGTTAATCTCGTTCATCTTGCAGAAGAAGAAGAGGAAGATGATCGTGAAAAAAACCTGCCAGTTGACGATCCACTGAATTATCTTCACTCTCGGAATAGTAACTCTGGAAACGAGTCGACGAGTGTTGGATCTTCAGCTCCGAAATCCGAGGCTCACACGTCCAGAGTCCCTCGGGAAAGTGGCGAGGAAAATCAGGTCGACTCGGAAAACCCTGGGGCCAAAAATGGAGACAGGGTAAATATCGATATCCCTCGGAAAAATCCATAGTTGCATAATTCGCGCAGCGAGTCGCAACCTTCTATACTGCACCCTGAGAAAAGAAAAACAGTACCAAAGAAATATTTTATTAATGAAAAGAATAATTATTTTTTGACTTAGACTCGAGCAAGTTGGGTGCTACATTTCTTTGGAATTATGACGCTTTTTATGAGTCTAATAATTATACATTTTTAAAGATGAAGCGAAAGTGAATCTTAAAGATATCTCAAATGAGACCTAAAGTGGTTTTTCGTTTTCCGTATTTTTTTGTCCCTTTCTTGAGATATCTTCTTTTACTTCCAGCATTCCGATATCGGGGAAGTTGCCGAAGGACGAAGAGTTGCCTCGAATTATCCTGACGACGAGGATTTCCCTGGCTCGGGCGAGGTCGAAGGAAGCGCCGTGGACCCCGAATTAAATGGGAGACATGGACCTCATACAGAAATTCCTAGGACAGGTGGAAAAGCTCGTAAGTTAAAGGAAAAACACTATTAAGATACGTATATTATCACATTGGCCTCCTTCATATATTTCATAAACACGTGTTCCATAAATTCAGTACACAAGTGTATATTAATTCTCCTGAAGACTTTCATAAAGTTAAAAAATTTATTATAAATGTGTACCGATTCGTGTTTGAGGACTAATTTGTAACCGATTATAACTTTATGTATGTACTGTTGATGTATATGAATTTTATAAATTCTTTTAAAAGGGTAATGGAATTATTCTAGAATTTAATCCAATATTGTCTGGTGAGGAAATAAATGGCTGCTAATCTGTCTTTCTATTTTGCAGAGTTTTATAGGGTCACGTTGACTGTCAGTGAGCCTTACAGAAGAGAGTATGCCGATAGAAATAGTCAAGAGTACAGGGAATTAAGTGCAAACTTGACACAAGCTCTGGAAAACTTGTATGCACTTCGCGTCCCGGATTACAAGCATTTCGCCAGTGTCGTCAAAATCTCGTAAGTGCATCTTCCCCGTGTAAGGTCTAGAAAAATGATCAGAATTAAGTAAAATCATGAAATAAGTAAAGTATTAAATTGTCTGAAATAAAAAATCCTCCTTTGCAGACCGACCTCGGATGCCTTCACCTCACAAGTCACCTTAGACATTGGTTCCACCTTTTCTGACGAACTGGAGGTTCGAGAAATCCTGGAACGTCAACTTCGAGTTCACTCCCTGGGCAACATCCAAGTCAGTCCCGAGGGATTCACGTTTCGTATTTTCGAAGGTAACCGCGATGGATCCTCTTCATCCTACGGAACGATCGATTTTAATGCGACCCTCAAAATGAAATAAAAAATCCAGACAATTCCCACACTCACCCTAAATTGGACCACCTACCCTGAGAAAACGAATTCATTGCAGAAAGGAAATATTTCTTTGAGTAGTACCAAATAAACGTATTGTTAATTTCAAGAAAAATAAATCATAATCCCGACCAATTTAATCGAGTTTGAGTGAAACAATTGTTCTTTGAACGAATAAAATATCTCATTTGTTCAATGAAATTCTTTTCTCAGGGTATCGATGATAAATGACATAAAATCGATCGCTTCCGGAAAAATCAAAAAACGGCCAACCTCTCTCGAGTGCATTCAATAAAGGTAGGACTGCACGTGGAATGCAATTAGACGTGATCGAGATCATTGCTCTTATCAATAGACCCCACTTTTGCACAGAGGCGTCTCCATATCGGAAATGAGGGAAACGTGATTAGCAAAGTCCCTTAAAAAAAATGTAATTCGATATAAATCGACGTACTAAATCGATTTAAACTTAATAAATGCACCGAAATCGGATTCATAATTCGGGAAACCGAATTACCGATTCCTGGAGTATGTTAAATATAAAAGGGGCGTAAAATTGACATCTTAGGGATAAATTATTGAAAATCATTTCCGAATTGTGGACGCTGACCCTCGCCTTAGTCCAGCACTCGTTAGATATTATTTGCTCTTTATTTATCAATTTATGGATATATTCATTTATTATAATTTTCTTATCGTTATTCCATGTCGTTTCGTTTGCATTGGATCGGCCTGCCTGTTTTCCAAATTTCCGTCGATGGTCAGCTCCTGAACATGGCCAAGAATGCGATCAATCGACCGAGCTTAGATGCCGAAATGGAGATTGCGTTCCTTTGGACTCTCGTTGTGACGGAGTGTCACAATGCAGCGACTTTTCTGACGAGCAGGACTGCCCCACGACGGAGACGGAAACTCCCCGTAAGTAATGCACCCCCTAAGAAATGAATCCCGACTCCGTCAATTTTCGCATTGAAACAAGAAACGCTGTATATAGTTCGTAAATACGCTCGGCCGAATTTTTCACTCTCCTCGGAATCATGGAAAGACCCCCCGCAAAGGTCGGTCCTTCCTCTCTTTACTCGTCTTCGTGATTACTCATAAAGTCACACGTGTGTCGCAGTGACATGCGATGTACTCCTCAGCTTGGGGCCATTAATCGATCTCGTTGAATCGTCGTGCACGTTTCCTTGTCTTCTCACTCGTGGCCGTCGATCTCTCTCGGCTTCCTCTGCGAGTGTCCATAATTATTACATTTTATGGAAAAATAAGTTACAAATCGTATCGCCTTTCGGTAAAGAAACCAGAGACTCGATAGAGTTTCCGCGCAAATGCTCTTATACCCTGGATAGGTCAGGGACATTAGAACGATTAAAAAGTTAAATAACCTTCACGCATCTATCGACAATTAGAATCGGGTGGATTTAAACAAAAGATCTCGCTTTCTTCCTTGATCCTTTTAGTTATGCAGATTTTTTATTCTTCGGCTATAGCATTTATAGGAAATGTCTAATCTCCCGCTCTTGGATGTATATAAAGTTGGAATTGCCACTTTAGCACAATTCAATAAAATTTGTTGCAAAATTTATTGCTAATTCATTGCTATTTTATTGCACAAGAAAACAATTTGTTGTTCCTATACTTTTCCGAAAAATGGTGGCGATGTCAGCTTCATATAAAACTAGCACTGCCACAATAATAAACAATTATTAAGTAAATGTTCATCGACGAATTATATGCAAGAATTTATTGCTAATTAATTGCTCGCAGAAAAACCGAATTTCAATTTTTTTGCTCACCTCTAAAGGGGTGAATCGCCAACCCTAGTGCTGATCGCAGGACAGAAAGATGAAAAACATGGGAGAATCGAACTATTTCTCCACGTGGAAATTAATTGCTCCGAGAAGAACCAATATCTTTGTAAAAATACAATTTTCAAACCTACATTAATTAGCGATTAATTCCCACGCGAACAAATAGTTCGATTCTCCCATGTTTTTCATGTTTCTGTCCTGCGATCATCCCTAGGGGTGAGCAAAAAAATTGAAATTCGGTTTTTCTGCGAGCAATTAATTAGCAATAAATTCTTGCACATAATTCGTCGATGAACATTTACTTAATAATTGTTTACTATTGTGGCAGTGTTAGGTTTATATAAAGCTGACATCGCCACCATTTTTCGGAAAAGTATAAGAGCAAGAAATTTTTCTCTTGTGCAATAAAATAGCAGTGAATTAGCAAGAAATTTTGCAACAAATTTTATTGAATTGTGCTAAAGTGGCAATTCCAGCTTTATATACATCGCTCTTGGGAAGTGGATCCTTGTCGTATAGAGACCCCGGCGCCGTAGCTCGGATGTGCAGAAACGCATTTGTCTCGGAACTCTGTCGAGTTCCTCCCTATAAGACTTTTCAAATGATCAGAAGAAATGTAGAGTGACGTTATCACAAAGGGAGCCTCAGGGAGAGCCGACAAAGGCCCTCGGCGATTGTGACTTACAATACGCGACGTCATTATCACACTCTAATTGTTCTCGATCTCGCCGGGAAATTTTCCCGCTTGCGGAAAACTCGCCCCCTGGAAATCGGCCGACAAACCGAAATTTAGGATCCTCGTTCGACACGACCCCGTTCTACCATCCCGAGAGACACACCTTGCCGCCGTTCCTGGAGGGGTCGGAGACGACGACCGAGAGACCGGAAGTCGATTACGACATCACCGACGAACCGATCACCAGACCACCTCCGGATAGTTGTCGAGGAGACGACACCGTTCGTTGCGAAGATGGGAGTCGTTACATTTGCTCGATACAACAATGCGATGGCATCCAGGACTGCGACGACGGAGGTGACGAAGTTGGATGTCCTCATCCAGGTACGGGCCGTAAGGATCAGGGCTCTTGGCGAGGATCTTGGGAATGGAACCTTGGACCGGATCCGAAGGACTCGTCGATGCATCTCGAGGATCAGGGTCCTGCCTGGTCTTCTCTCCTCGTGGCTGTCTCTTCGCTTTGTCCTGTCGAATTCGGCTAATGTATGGTGATCGAGACCGACGAACTCTGCTGTAAATCAATTTTCATTGGGAATAATTACGTTCCATACAAGACACGAAAAGCAATCCCTCTCAGAAATTTACCCTAGCCAGGAAGTTTGGATCTACTTGCGAGGGTCATAAATACACTAATAAATATCAGCAGACCGAAAAAAAAATATATATTGTTGCCTGGATCATATATCATTGCAAGAAATAATTGTTTCGTTGAGAGGAGAAATTTCAATGTCTGTAAAATATTCCTGGATAATTGTTGGATCTACTTGTGAACCGAGGGTCATAAATGCACTAATAAATATCAGCAGACCGAAAAAAAAATATATATTACTGCCTGAATCATATATCATTGCAAGAAATAATTGTTTCGTTGAGAGGAGGAATTTCAATGTCTGTAAAATATTCCTGGATAATTGTTTACAGCTCGGGGTCGTTAGTGTGGTTTTGTTAGACATGTCCATCCTAGTTACTGGAAGTAATTGTTAACTCATCCTGTGCTTTGCGCCGCAACACCTTGCGTGAATTTCAAATTTAATTGATGGAAATTAATTTTACGCTGATATTGTGTAGATTGAATGAAAAATTATGAAATTAACGCAAGGCTGTCATCGCTGACTGACTGCATTCGCTTTGTGCCTCGCAAATGGCTGCAGTGTTCCCTATTCATTACCTTGTAAATTATGTTTATTGTTGATACTGGTATTTTATATTAGTTGGTATTTTCGCTTCGTACCGTAGTTCTTCCTCGCTCGATGGAAAATGGATCTACGATTTAACATCGACCTGTTTTACAGCTTCTCTCGACGTTACATTTTGGTGCTGTGTCGTGTACGTCTCAACTCGCGATTGCGGCATGTCTTGGAGATGAATGACTAACATCCAATTGACAAATTCATTTGACATGTCCCTTTTGCAGGGTGCAGTGCCGGTGAATTCGCCTGCGACGTTGTGAGGTGCATCCTTCAATCTCAACGATGCGATTTCCACGAGGATTGTCAAGATGGCAGCGACGAGCACGACTGCGAATATCCCGGTGAGTCTCGCATGAATCTTCTAAATTTAACAATTAATATAATTTAAAAAGACATAAGGTGACATGAAAGGGTCATTCTGTATACACATAAAAACGTGAAAATCCTTTTGAACTAACATTCTCTTCCGGAAAACCAAATTTCCCGATTTTTTAGGCCTTCACGAGAACCCCCACAATCACGTATTAAAGTTTTGAATTTTTCGGCGCCCTCAGTTTGGAGAAAAGTTTTTTATAAATATTTTCCGACGTGTATATGTTACGGTGAAACACCGAAATCTGGAGAATGTCGAATTTCACCGGTAAATGTTGACATTCACCGGTGTGTGATTGTCGACACTCACTGGAGAGGGTCCGAATGTACAACAATGTAATGAAATATTCGATCTTTCACCGACGTATTTTGTATCTGTTGACATTCACCGGTGAAAGTCGACATTCCCCAATTTCGGTAATTCACCGTAACATATATGACATTTTCATGACACCTCAAACGCTAAAAAAGAGCCCAGGAATTCTGCAGCAGTCGGTAAGACATTACCTTCGATGCAGTCGATAAGTTACATCCCTGGAGTCGGTAAAGCTGTCCTCCGCCCATGATAGTCAAATCCCATTGATAAAACAGTAACATAATTAAAAATCACCTATACAGCTTCCTCCTCGTAACGCTAACGATTTCTCAAAACGAATAGACCCCCACGAGAGAAAGTTTTAAATCAAGCGAATTTAATTTTAATAAACAATGGTCGGTATAGCCGCGATCGGTGAAGTGGAGAGGTGAATTATCGGCTGAAAGGGTCAGGTATATTTGTATAGCTTGGACCTTTACCTTTGCGATCCCGATCGGTAACGAGGAGTTCTTTTACCCGGGGAATGCGGATAAGAGGAAAGTAGAAGGATTCCGGCTGACATCCGGAAAATTCCGAGGTGCCACCTAAGATCCGAGCTCTCTCGGGACGGGTAAAAATAAGGTCATGTAAAGATATGCAACCGGGACGATCCGATGAATATTCAGAAGCTGGAGGGGCTTTTTCTCCCTCGCGTCTCTCTCCTCGGAAACCTCTCTCGGTGTCCGCTGGAGGATCATCGTAGTCAACAACGTGGAAGCGGCGCCGGAAGTCGGCAAATGTGACGTCGCTCGCCCCTCCGGCTTTTTTTCCATGGACACCTCTGCAATTAAGGCACCACTCGTAAAACATTAAAGATCGCTCCTCCACCTCCGGGAAAATATTCCGGGATATTTAATGCGTCCTGAAACGACCGACATTTCGATAAGAAATTATCGCCCTTAACCGAGCTTGAAAAAAAATCCAGCGCGCGGTTTTATGAAAATTAATGGTGCACAAAAAAAAATATATATATATACGCGGATATTTGATAAGAAAATAACGTCAATGCGCAATTTTTTAGGGTCTTCATATTAATTTCAGGTACTTTCGATTTCTTGAAATATTCCCTCTTATCCCCCAGACTGGGTGAAATCGTTAACATAAATATTCTGTCATATTTTATGCGAACCTTAAATTAATTACGAATTAACATTTTTGATTTATCGGCCGAATATGTCCGACTGGGGTTTCTTTTCGCGAGGGGCCGAAGGAGCGACGAATTTCCGTTGTCATTAGGCCGTTCCCGTTAACGTGACAAGGATTTCTCGTCCTCTGGTTCCTCCCGGTCGTTTATAAATATCCGAACGGGCACGCACTCGGTACCCCCCGTCGGTACTAGCCCTCGTAATGTGCATGCTTAATCGATATTCAAGTATTCGCCGGCGGTCGGGCACGGGAGTCTTGCCCCGGGACGTACATAACCTCCTCGTAATGCCGCGGATGGGGACAATAATTATGAGTCGGTAGGGAAACGGCAGGGCAGAGACCACCTCCAGGCCAGACACGCTAGGCACCACCACGACAAATGTCAACCCCTTCGTCTTGGGGCATTATTCAGATACGTTCTAGCCGGTACGCCTGGGTTACGTCGTTTCGCGAAATGCACGATAACTCATAGGGCGAGCCCGAATAAGGCCAAATATGGCTATTAGTCCCTACCGATACGATGCACCCTGCAACGTGTCCAGTGTCATCAATTTCCCTTGTATGTCGGTGGTGATCTAGTACGTCGGCGCCCTTAATTTTGGCTTGTGAAAAGGAAAAAAAATATCACGATAACTAGAGCGAGTCTGAATAAGGCAAAATATGGCGATTAGTCCATACTGATACGATGCACCCTGCAACGTGTCCAGTGTCATCAATTTTAATTTTGGCTCGTGGAAAGGAAAAAAATATCACGATAACTCAGGACAAGCCCTAATGTGGCAATTAGTCGTTTGAAGAGATATTCAAATAATATTGAACAGGCAAGAATATGCCTTTCGTGATTTCTTTTTCAAGCATCCACTGCCATTTAAATTTCGCGGGTTTTGGGTGAGATCGTCACTTTATGAAAAGTTGTTTTTGGCGTAGAAAAGATTTTAATCTCGATGATAACGCCAACTGAGAAAAGAGGATCCCGTAATATTAACTCCCAAAAATAAAGAAAATATAGAAAATCAAGAAATTTCCACGACAGATTTTATTAATGGGTCACTTTTGTCCCTTCATTGTTACGGTTGTATCGAATGTTCATTTCATGATTTTTTTTTTGTCAAGGGTTCTCTGTCACTAAAATTGTCGCCAAGCGCCCACTGTCATTACAATTTTTGTTAAACGTCCACTGTCATTAAAATTTCACGCGTTTTGAGATCGTTTCTCTATGAAAAGTTGTTTTTGGCATAGAAGGGAATGTGGAAAGATTATAATCGCGAAGTTAACGCCAAGGGAGAAAAGGGGATCCCCTAATGATGGCTTGCCGAGTGAAGTTTGCTTTTTCGGACGATCCTTTGCGGCCAGTCTTGCAGCTGCATGCATTAAGGAACACTCTGTCGCTTGCTTATGCGAAGCTACGTGTCGGCCTGGACCAATTATCAAAGAAGTGTCTCTGATTAGAGGGTCTCGAAGACGGAAGGAGAACCGCGCCTAGGCTCGGAAAAAATTCCCCGTAAAAGTGGAGCCTTCGTTAAGGACAATGTCTGGCCTTAATTATTTTCGACCGATCGGACGAGTCTACTGTTCCGAAACGCCGTTTTATCCCGCCCTGGACCACACATCCGGAAATCCATGGGTGCGGACCCAGGTTCTCGTTATCGCGAAATGACTGCCTCGCGAAACAAAGGGGAACTCAAAAGGAATAAAAACCGGGAAAAAACCTTCCCTCCACCCGGGAGTTTCCCTCGGGAACCGCCCGTCGAGTCCCGGGGATTAATTGGAATGAAATTATTTACAGGGATAGACCTTAGACGGTTTTATCATTGTTAGTCCGATGAAAGCACTCCCTCAAAAAATCTCCCTCTTCGGATTGTAATCCTTAAGGCGAGGCGAAAGTGCCGTCAGAGGTCTCGCTTATGAAAATGGAAAAGTTTCCATAAACGAGACCTTTTCCCCCGCTGCTTTCTCGTCACCTTAATTTCTTGACGTCACGTTACCTTCATTTAAGCCGAAGAAATAGCGAAACGGCAAAGGGACTTTAAGGTGACGTGAAAGTGGCGTCGAAAAGGTTTCGTTTATAAAACTTTTCTCCCAACTCGGTTTACCGAATAGTTTGAAACGTTACAACGTGAATAGGGAGACTGTAAGGAAGGTCCTGAAACTCGTGAAATTTCAATTCTTTTCAAATTTCTTTATAGGTATTTTGAAAATAGTTTGTAAAAAATGAAATTTCGCGAGTTTCAGGACCTACCTTAGGGTCTCCATATTCTCGTTTTAAAGTATGAAATGATTTGAGACATACAGTGCGTAGAAAAGTTTTATGAACGATTGAGCTTTCGGATGCCACTTTCACATCCCCTTAAATGTTTCAAAATTCCTCCTACTCTCCCTTTTCCGATTTTCGAATTTCCAGAGTCGGAGGGGAGTTTCCCGGGTTTTCGGAGCGAAGATCGATCGCACCTGAGCGCCGTCTTTTCCGGGACGAGCATTTCCCGGTCCCTATATGTACCTGTCAAAGTTTAGACAGTTCCTCGCGTTGCCTTCCGTTGGCGGAAATCCGAAACCCGAGGAAGCTCACCTTATAAAAGCTCACCTTAAACTCCACGGTCAGTTCGGGGTCCCCTTAAGGTGATGTGAAACACGTCGAGGAACTTGATCAACGTCGATAAAGAAGATTTTTCTAAATGCCTACGTTGCCGACGTTCGTTTTTATATTGACAGCTGGGTCGAATTATATTGTGTATTGTACCAAATGGCATATTCCACCTGTCGTTTTCGTACAATAATTATAAAGAAATCGAAGTAAAACTCCAGAAATCCTCTGGATTCGTGCCTTCTGGGGCCCTAATTGACTGCGGAGGGGCCCCTGCGCCATCTGTGATTTCCAGGTGAATTAAATTTTCACTCCGAGACCTCGTATTACCATTGTTTTAGCAAAGAAGCGCATACAACACTTTTTTTGCCTTTATTCCGTTCAAATGGGAATTTATCGATTACCAGAGTGTTCTAAATTGTCGTAAAATTGTCCTGACCCTTTCGATTCTCATATCAGAGCCTTCGATAATTGTATATTGATCGAAATATCAGAGCTCGACGCCATTTTGCTCCTCGTCTGGAATGAGTTAAAAAATTTTGTTGAAAAATCCAAATTTTCAATATGTCAGGACAATTCTTAGATGATCAGGAGGGATGTGTCAAAGTTCGGACAGTTTGGTCTAATACCCTTAAAAAAAAGGGTTGTATTCGAATCGACTGATTTGAAGGATGTTTCACTTCACCTTAAGTCATATATATTAAGTCTGAAATGAAGGAACAATGAAAAATTAATTATTTCCACGCGAACTGGATTTTCTGTCACCCTGAGTGTCGCGCAATTTTTCTCGCACTCTCTCGCGGAAAAGTCCAAGAAGTTGGCGTTCCGTATCCGGACAAATTTCCGTCTCTCTCCGGGGCGTTTCGATCCTATCGGGTATCGATGTC